CACTAATGTTATTCTTCCATCAGGTGATATTATTAAAGGTCAACCTTGCATATGGTCAATTTTTGATTTTATATTAGTCTGTGATAATGCTGCAGATATCTAGACACGCGGTAGCGTGTCAAGCCAAGTTCTAGCTAACAGAACTGGCGAGCAGCACCGTGTGTAATATTACACGAACCATTTGGAGCCACTTTTGACCAACTCATAACTCAAAAACTATTTCACATAAACATGTCAAATTTGGCTCATATATTGAGACTAACGAGATACATATGTGCTCTAAATTTCATAAACACACTTCAAACCGTTATTTAGATATTAACGTCCGAAAATCATCATTTTTATCACTGACTTACCCATAGATCAAAATTCTAACCCAGTTCCAGATGACCTAGAAAGTTCAAATTTGGCATACAGATAGGTAGTTAGGTAAATACAAAGGAAAAAATCAGAAACTTGAAAATTTTTAATTTAAAATTTTTTAATTTTTAATTTTTAATTTTTAAATTTTTAATTTTTTAATTAATTGATTTTATTATAATTTTGCAATTATTTTATCTATTATGTTTAATTTTTCAATTTATTAATGAATTGCCTCTAATTTAATGTAATGTAATATAATGTTGACTTAAATAACCTTTCCCGTATCGCCGCTCCAAAAATACGACTAGCCGAATATGTGTCGATATTGTCGACCCGTGGGCAGCAACATACTTTTTTTTCTATCTATGTATGTAATTAATATTATTTTTTTTAAATATTACAATTAAAATAATTAAATAATTATTCTTACAAATTATGAATTATCCACCCAACAGTAGAAACTACAGTCAATAAAATTATGATAATTAAAAATATACTCAAAAAGAGTTAAAATAATTGTATATTAATTTTACATATATTTTATACTCTGTATATACAACGGAAAATATTTTATAATAAATATTATTATTAATATTAGTAACTGAATTATATTATATAGTAATAAACTTTATTTATAGAATACGTCATGGCTAGGTTAGGTTAGGTTATAATAATTTACATACAAAAAGTAATGATATCCCACCAAAAACATATATGTAAAATGAGAGCCAAGTTCAATACTATAATATATGCCTTGGTTGCTGACTTCAACGACAAAAGAAGTGAGATCTAAATGGGTGCCAAGTTAGGATAATATATTGAAGCCTAAGGTCTGACTTGGCTACGAATTATATATTATAGCATTTGCAAGTTCTAAAGCTTTGAGTTCTTATTTTATTCTTCGGAAAATCATCTTCACTCTTCCATTACTGTTTTAGTAGGTACTTATAATAATAATTCGTATATGAAAAGTAGCCAAGTCACACCTTAGGCTTCAATATATTATCCTAACTTGGCACCCATTTAGATCTCACTTCTTTTGTCGTTGAAGTCAACAACCAAGGCATATATTATAGTATTGAACTTGGCTCTCATTTTACATATATGTTTTTGGTGGGATAAGTATTAAATCAGTAGTTTGATAGTTTTTGAATTTAAAATCAATAATTATTATTTTATTTTCAGTTTTTGTCTGTAAATATAAAACATTTATTTACAACATTATAGTATTATTTTCATCTATTTAAATATAGTATATATATAAAAATAAAAAATATGTAAAAAACACATACATCATGTTTATTTTTTATTTGTATTGTTTAAAATAAATTATAATAGTTTAGTTTAGTTCAATTTATACTTTATTTTTATTAATGTTGTCATACCAGTTACAGTAGTTAATCTATAATATATTATTAAAATAAAATAATATTTTTTACAATAATTTTCAAATTTTTCAAGTTTATATATCTGTAAATGTTGTGCGTCGCTACCGTAGTGCGTTTTTTTTTTTAACATGGAGATGGACTAAGACAGATTGCCGTGGAATGTCTACAACGAGCATTTTAAAATAATTAAAATTATCGATGACCATTTAAATCATTTAAAGTATGAAGTAAAATGCTTACATTGCATTCGATCAAAATCTCTAACTGCAGATACGAGATCACCTTCAAATTTGAAAAAATATTTGACAGTAAGTACTATCTTCCTATACTTAACATAAATTTTATTTTATAGGTACCTACCTACTACCTACATAAATTTAACATAAATTCTCGTATGTCCAGTATCAATTTTAGTTTTTCTCAATAGCCATTTCTTATACAGATGGACAATACACCTAGGTACCTATTAAATAAAACTTGAGCTTTTGTGACTGTTATATTCAAAAATATTATAAGCCCAGATCATAATAGTTATACTATACATTTATAGGTAGCTGATTGTACATACATATTGGCTATTTCAAAAACTAGGTATATATTGTAATCTTCAAGGTGAACCACAACCAATTTTAAAGTTTATGGTTTCACTATTTGGACTTATAATATGTACTGTTATTTTTTTATGATAATTATAACAGTTAGGTACTTTTTATTGCTAAAAATTATATACAGTTGTACTTATTGACTGACTACATGCCTACATAATATAAGATAAAATAAAATATACCTAATAATTAAAGCTTGGTAGGTAGGTAGATAAAATTGTGTTTGTATAATCGAAGTGCATGAAAAATAAAATGGGTTTTTAAATTACAAAATATTGTTTTAAATGTTGGAAAGTGCTAAAACTATATTAGACTAAAACATAATTATATTATTGCAATGGTATGCATTTATCTGTCATTAACTATTCAGATTCTTAAAGTTAAAAGAATAACTAATACAATTATAATCAATTATAGGTGGGAAAAATCCGTCATAAATATACCTATCAAGGGAGTTATTGTTAATCTATAAAATTCAACTATAGGTATTCAAAAAATCTTAAATAAGTAACTATGTAAGTACATATTATAACAAAGTTGATTTCCCTAAACATATTTTTAGTTAATTATTCAAAATTATCCTAACTTGATCAGCCTTGTGAATCCAATGGGATGAGTTATACTTAGCCAAAAAACAGTGGTTGGGCACGGACTTTCATTATTTAGTGGAGGTGGGTGACCACTACTTTACTAAGTGATCAGCACTTGTCCGTAAAATTATAAGAGTGTTTAAACGACGATTACCCTTGTGACCAACTTGGGGTAGTATTGCATAGCAAGTCATGGGATATTTTTGATTTTTTGTCCCAGCGCAGCTCAACGAGTGAATGTCAACGCCGGCATCAATGGCGGGAATCACTGAAAATAATTTTTCACATAAGTGTCACTGCTGGATCATTGGTATTCTTCGTGGTATAAATATCCTTATCGATTTTGGATGACTGTTGCAAACTCTACTGTACTGCGTTACCCATGTGCGTCCTGAAGGTTTCTAGCAAAGCCAACGGGCATATTCGATTTTGGCTTGTGTGTGTAGGTAAGTAATATAACTTTATATAATACTCACCAGTTCCGACCGGCCATGTTAAGGAATATAGAAACCTGGTTGAATTGTATTATATTGGTATCGTTCGATAATAATTTAATATGTGTGTATTATTTAAAAAATATTTTGTTTCCTGGTCCCCTCGGGTCGCCACCAAGGATTGTTCATCCTATTCTCCGATACTGGATGACCAACAGTTTGGTAAAAGTTATAAAAAAAATAAATTACTTGCACTGAGCAAAAGGAAAAAAATGGACTGAATCGATCAGTGGGTTCTCAATGACCGCTGGAAGAAATAAGATGGAGCTATGTAAGAGTTTCGACTTTTGTTGTGACCAATCCACCTTTTATTTTCTATAATAATAATTTAAATAAGATAGTGACATTGGTAGATAGTGGGACATATAATTGGTTGGTATTATTTTAGTTTATAACAGATATCATAATTTATCATAAACAAGTTTACATAGAATGACAATTTATTATTACAGTGCGCATACATCAGAGAGATGGTGGTGTCGTCGACGAGAATATTTTGACTTTCAGCCAGGGCTTAAATTTGAAAAAAAAATCCATTTTTAAATGAATATATTTTTAAATATTTCTTTTTGTGTTATTTTTCGTTCAATGATATTCTATAAATTACGTTTTGCTTAATGTTTTGTTTAATGATATATAATATATTTTGTTAATCGTTATGTTTTATTTTGTGGTATTTAATTATTTTTTACTATGGCTTTCCGTTATAATAACGTTTACAAATTTCAATCTTTTTTTGTTAAATATAACGTTATTATAACATTTGCAAGCCTTGCTTCCAGATGCATTCTTATGAGGTAATGTTATTGTTTTATTGTTATATTGTTATATTTATTTTTTAATTAATATAAGATATACCTACTTATATTGCTTAAGAAACCATGGAAAACCTGAACAATGAATTCAACAATTTGGAATTAAATGTTAATGTAAGTAAAAATTATAATTTATTATTCACATCAATAAGTAGTACACTAGAAAACAAACAATAAAAATAATAAAAGTACCTATAATATAAAATATAAATAAAGATAATACACTAATACACTAATATCAAATAGAATTATATTATTTAAACAATATATACTACTTATAGTGCCAATTATAATATTATGTACTAATTTATAAAATAAAGTAATATGCAAATTTCTTATATTATTATATTTGTATTATTTATTATTGTTATATTATTTTAATTTTTCTATGTTCTTTTTCGCAATGTTTTTATAATTTCATGTTAATTAGATTTAACTAAGAAAATTCCAATATTTTCCTAAGAACACGGTTATCTACTCGATAACCGTAGATTACCTTGCCTTAAAAGGATCTAAATGACCTTAATTAAGGTTATAATCTCAGTTTAAATCAATTGATACTTGAGTTGCTGTAATCTGTTTGGTTAAAAATTTACTTATTATTTACCTATATTTGTTTTTCGAGTAAAAAATAAATTGAATAGGTAACAGTAACCCAACCAGTCAATTATAGGTACATAATATTATAATGTATACAATATTACAATATAGTATATATTATAGTGATCTTATTGATATAATGATGTCACTCGTATTGTATGGTACCAATAGAAGGAGGACATAGCATCGTTACCGTGGTCGGGACGGCCACGGTAGATTCAGTAGTGCCACCATCGCCATAATTATAATATTTCGTCCGCAGAGACGATTTCGGAGACACGGCCGTAGTTTTGTTGCTCAAAGGCCTCGTGGTCGGTGGCCACCGTCGGCCACCGACCTCTGTCACTTGGTTGGGCGCCGTCGACGTTTTACGCTTGCCATGCGTTGATCGCTCGGAGGCTCGTCCGGAATGACGTCGGTCAGTGTCAGCAGCGGTGCCGGCCAAATCACTCCTCGGTGTGGCGGCCAACAGCAGCCGAGCCACCGCTTTGCGGAAGTCACCTACGCGGCGCTCAGTGTCTTGAATACTGCGCACGGCGTTCACGCGGTGCTCACGTACGGCGCGCAAGCACAACGTGACCACATCGTGAGTAGCCGTGCCCCGACGGTTTGCGTGGGCCTGATCGGTCCGGTCCGGTGTCCTCCGTGGGCCAGGGGCCCCCGCCTTGTCCAATCTCGCGAACAGCGCAAAACAGGCTCGCTCGAGCCGTCCCGCGATTTCAGTGACCGCCGACGAGCCGTACCGAAGTGGTGCTTTTTTACCGACACACGTTGCGCACGTCGCACACAACAGTCTCCGCAACGCAATCTGCTCTCGCTCCACCTCGCCGATGGCTAATTCCATCAATCGCCGTATCCTGCTCAAATACTGTTGGCCCGCCGCTACCGTGCGCTGAGCCTCTAACAACACGTCGGTTTGCGGACGTTTTCCGCAGCTCGTCTCCGGTGGGTGTTGCTCGGTACGTCCGGTCGTCGTCCGCCTGCGCACACGTTCCGCGATCCTCGCACACTGCTCCTGCATGACCCTCAGCTTGTCCAATACCTGTACCGGTTCGGCATCGTCTAGCACGTCCGACGACGTCCGGCCATCACGAGACGGGGACGGGCTACCCGATGACGTTTCCTTAAGGTATCCGGACATCAGCCTGTGCAGCGACCTAGACGTCCTGAGCGATTCCCTCCGGTACTGCGTGCCCACATGGTCAGCCAGAGCGAAGAAACGGCGTCCTTGTTTGGCGGGCCCGAGCCGGCGCCTCGCCATCCCGACCGGCGGAATTGGTGGTGTTGGCGGTGGTAATGGTGGAGACGACGAAGACGGCCGCTGATCCGTGCCCAACACTTCCATCGCAAACCCACGGTACCGTCCGTGAAGCTGCTGCCACCTGGCGTCAAGCCGATACGCGCGAACTGTGCTGGCCGTCCGCCTCGCTCTCAGCTCGTTCTCCGCTCGATCGTGCACCATTTCACGGCGGCATTCGGCCTCCGACCGGCCATACAGCACGGCCACCAGCCGATTGTGCGCCTCGGACTGCAGCTTAGCCAGTTCCACCGACCGGCGCCCGTATTCTGCGACCGCCGTATCCAGCTTCACTCGATCATCGGCTATGCGCCGACACAGTGTCTCCGTCGTCCGTCTGCACGCTTGTAACTCGGCCCGGACCACCTGCAGATCTCTCCGCCGTCGTTGCGCCACCCCGTCCACCGGATCTTTGCGCACACCTGCACCTCTTGCCACCGATAACATTACGAGGCGGAGGAATATAAGATTTTATTGTGCACACTGTAGACTATAACAAACCAAATACAAATAATATAGAAAAAACATAATATTATGATGTCACAGACTTCTATAATACTACACTATAAACGAATAACTCATGTCATCAAACGAATCTTAGTTCGTAGTTTTCTCGCAGGGTAGCAAACTGACACCGAAGATATGTAAATATTAAAATAATATATGCACATGTTTGGTATGTAACGTCACGGAATTTTGACCCTATTTTAATTAAAATAATCCCAAAACACACTTCCCAAAATTATAAAATATTATTTCGTTATTACACAATTACGTGATACACACCCTCAATGTATATAATAGTTCAACAATGTTATACAATCCAATTCCCCCGACCCCCTCCTGTAGCAGTGCCAGTCGTAGCAGTGGTTGCTGTCCATCGTCGCCGTTGTCTCGCCGGGCCTCTGACAGAGCAACCTGTTTCCTAGTCTAATATTTTGTATAAAAGTTCATCAAACAACGACACTCTTCTCCAATCCCGGATTAAGATATTTTGAGACCCAGGGTCAACGCTTTAAATTAGGCCCCTGTAAGAAAAAAAAATATGTATAGGTATTATGAAACAAAGATTAACGTGGTCTCACACATCAGAACTAAAAGATTAGTATTGAACTATCGTCTTCGCTTGCTTCAACTCTTATTATGCAATAATAAATATACCTCCATTAGAACTAAACTGCTTATATATAAAACACTATTGAAACCAGGGACTGGAACCGTACCGAAAAGAACCGGTTTTGGAACCGGGACCCTTTCAATATTGGGAACCGAAACCTCACCGAAACCCTAATTCAAATTAATTTTAAAACCGGAACCTCACCGGAACACTTATTTAAATTTATTTAAAAACCGGAACCTTACCGGAACCCTTATTTATATTTATTTAAAAACCGTAACTTAACCGCAACCCATACTTTTTTTTAAAGGTTTTTACAATTAATTTCGGTTTTGTTATATCATTAGTTTTATTTAATATATCTGTTAATTGTCATTGGTACATGGTAGATAATATGAACTAAACAAATACGTAAATCTATTATTATTATTAAGAGGGAAATTATACAAAAACAATCATTCAATATTTGTATTTTGTACGTGACAAGTTACTGACAACTGATAATGTAATAGAAATGAGAAATTCCCAATAAAAATAAGTCATTATTTACTGCTTATTATTACATGTAGGTACCAATAGGGGTTCCAGTTACCACAATACCAAGCAATTCTCAATATATATGGTTAATATTTATAAATAACTAGGCATTTTATGATTGTGTATATTATTACTATTAATACTATCGTTATCTGACGTACAGTACGCCTCGCGCAGTCGCGTCCTACTATTCTTGTCTATGGCCTGAGCTGTAAACGCGTTTCTGTGCTATGTCGCTATTTGAAACCACTATGGACCTAAGGTCTTCAGCTTTGGGGCAAAAGACAAATATCTTGAAAATCCAAACCTTTCAAAATATTGAGCTTAGAAAACTATAATGAATGCTCCACCTTACTTGTCAAATCATACACTACACACCGACTTAAAATTTAAAACAATAAATGATGAAGCAAAAATATTTTATGAAAGATTCCACTACCATTTAAATAATCATCCGAATCAACTAACAAAAAACTTGGCCACTCCCACAATACCTGGAAATCCTCCTAGAAGTTTGAAGAGTAATAAGTGGTGTCGTAATCTCTTAAATTAAATTAATTATCAAGCAAACAGAAAGTGTTATCAGTGGGTGGCTTATTTCTACAAAACCTCATAACCTGTTAACTTTTATCACATAATCGTATTGTGTCTAGTAAAATAATTGATACAGATACAACGCCGCGGTCGCGGCGCAGAGCTAAGTAAAAAATGCCAAAATTATTATTTTTGAAAACAAAATCAACTATGAAACCACATGTAAAATATATACTCATAATTACCTAGCTTAAACAAATATCTCATTTTTATTTCTTAAATTTAGTTAAAGCCGTTACCTACTATTATTTAACTTAAATTATTATTTCATACAAAGCCCACAAGTTCCACCGACATGTCCTTAGGGACATCACGGTTTGGTCAAGTTCGGATTGTGGGTCACTGGGTGAGTGTTCCCCTCAGCTAGTGGGTGGTAAGTAAGCCCCTAAAAATTCTGAACTCTCACAGGTATATTACACAAAATATTTAGTTAGTAATTTTAATATCCACAGAAATTGTTCATATATCCATAACATTATATGGACGAGCTTCAATTAATATACATTAATTGTATCCAGGGTTTCCTTTTCAGTATAGTATAATTGTCTGTGAATATATTTTTATTTTTTTTTATATATAATATTATGTCTTTTATAACTGAGATTGGAAATTTTATCAAAATTATAACACTTTATAATAATGCAAAGAACTAAGGAGTATAATCTACGACGACCTTCGATCATTTTTGAAGAATACCTAATAAATGTCCTGTCGGGAGACTCAGAGCTTAATATTATACATATTTACTTATTTATGGAGGGATAATTTCTGTCAATTTCTTGTTACGTGGCACTCCGGTGATTCTATCCTACGTCGTTGTGTTAGTTATAAATTATAATCATACTTTTAATTTATATACTATCGTTGGTATGAGTATGTTATAAGTATTAGTATCTATATATTATAATATATACCCTACATACATCCGATCGGTATAGCTCAAGTAAAGGTATCTAACTCAGAATTATTTTTCTAATTCAATCGTGATTTATAATAATTACTTTATTCCGTTCAACTTTGACCACCGTTTGTATTATTTACACATTATACCTAATAAGTAATATTCACCTTTTAAGTTAATTTTAAGTTATCTGCTTCTATTAAATCCCTCTACTGATCAATTGTCCGTTTAGTCCTGGAGTATGGTATCGGAGTCTGTGATCCTAATAGTAATCCTGATAAGTGTCAGCTCGAGAGTGGTATCCAGATAACATTTTTAAAGTTCTGAGCTTTTGTTTTACAAATTAAATGTCCACTACACGATTATATTCCTCTTCGGATTCTTGACTTAAATTGATTAGCTGATAGAAGAGTTGATAATAATCTATTGTTTCTATCTAAAAATATCATATCTAATATATAAGTAGATAGTCCAATGTTATTAGGTAATATCAATTTTCTTGACCCTCCTCGGAATTTTCGTAATTTTCATTCCTTATCCGTTCCAATTTGCCCGAAACACTGTATTTAAAATATAACCCTCTGTACAGGATTGGGAAGCTGGAATTATTATTATTTTATTTTTATTGTACTATATTGTAATTCTACTAGGTATTAATATTGTTATTTTTAAGTGTAATTTTTACTATTTTATATTTTAATTTTTAGATTCTGAGCGAAAAGAGGAAGCTAATGGTTTTACATGGTGTTTATTTTTTAACATTTTTAAAATTATTTTATCCTGTATTCAATATTTCTACCAGAAGGCTTTAATTTCAACATATAGTATTATAGTATCTTATATTTTAGAAAAGTAGATCAAGATGGTACTTTAAAAATGTCATTTTCGATTTTCTTAATAGTTGTTTAATTAAATAAACAGGAAAAACCACCAACAAATTACGAAAAACCGCTGAAAATAAGATTTTATTTTCTAACGTTTTGTGTATCACCATAGAAACGAATAAAAATTGTGAAATTACAATATATAAAATATTTTAGTGTTTTAATATTTTATTGGGGGCAATCCGTATAAATGTATAATATTATATATTATACACTATTATACAAAACTTATTAACCCATTCATGCCCAGTGGCCTATATGTAGGACACCGGTTTATCGCATCGTTATCTAATCTATTTTTAGAATTATTTTCCCCAATCTGTTCTTATCCACTACGTGACAGTGTATTTATTATAACTAAACTTATTTCGTTCATTAGAACATGATAATTTTATTATAAAACAATTTATGTACATCAGTGTATTTTTCAGTCACCATGGCGTCATTTTCAAAGTAAGTAAAAATTATTTTGTTTATCTAAAATTTGCATACACAATTACAAAAACTTTTAAGTAGTGTATGGTAAACATATTTTACGAACTGAGGTACATATTTAATTTATATTTAGTTATTTATCAGCATACCAAACATAGTGTCCTACATGTAGGACACTGGGTACATCAGTTACTAAAATTATATTACCATACATAAATATGATAAAAATGATAAAGCATAAATTAAATTATTTTTTATTAGTTTTAAATACAATATATAACTGTTTTTTAATTTTATAGACGACTAACTGTTCACGAAGTAACCGAATTATTAGAACAAGGGGATATTGATGATATTTTGGACGATGTTACTGACATATTTATGGAGCCACCAGTAAATGTCAATAATGACATCACTGATGAAGACAGCGATGATGATGGACCGATAGGTGATATAAACCACATGCCGGCTAGCTTACTAAACGCACATATAGTTATACATGATCCTGATACAGAAAACACAGAAGTAGCAAAAAAACACAAAGTAAGTGATAAAAAAATACGAAAGAAAATAAAACAAAACATTTCATCAAGGCCAAAAAATAAAATAACAAAACAAAATCAAGATGCTCAACAAACTGTATTATGGCGTCAGGGAGATCTCGAAACTCCTAATATTTTTGTTGATGATCAAAAACCCAATTTATTTTATAATACATTACAACCCTATGAACTGTTTGAGCTATTTTTCGACCAACAAGTGTTGGAAATGATTGTTGATTATTCAAATAATTATGCATCTAATAAAAACCAATCACTTCAAATTGATGTAAACGAACTAAAGTGTTTTTTAGGTATCTTGTTATTATCGGGTTATAATGAATTATCACGAAGACGTATGTACTGGGAAAAATCACCAGATACCCATAACGACTTGGTGTCAGGTGCTATGCGACGAAATCGTTTTGAGCAAATTTTTTCATATATTCATTTCTGTGATAATAGCAAGCTTGACGAGCATGACAAATTTTCCAAAATAAGACCATTACTTTCCATGCTAAATTCAAGGTTTTTGATACACACACCACATCAACAATTTCATAGTATAGATGAATCAATGGTTCCATACTTCGGCAGACATGGCTGCAAACAGTTTATAAGGGGCAAGCCTATTCGATTTGGTTTCAAAATTTGGGTTGGGACACTGAGATTAGGCTATGTAGTCTGGATATCTCCATATCAAGGAAAAAGCGGTGATCTTCAAAATACTGAGTTTGGTCTGGGTGCGTCAGTTATCATATCATATGCAAATAATTTATTGGCACACCGTATAGCTCCATATCATTTGGTATTTGATAATTTTTTCACTGGTTTGCCTTTATTAGAAAAGTTGAGTGAAATGGGTTTATATGGAACAGGGACAATACGTTCAAATAGAACAAAAAAATGCCCTATAAACGTGGCTGCAATGAAAAAAAAAGAAAGAGGTTCGTACGAAAGTTATGTTTCTGATTCGGGTATTTTGGTATGTGCATGGAAGGACAATAGCACTGTTACCATAGCATCGAATAATGTTGGAGTTGAGCCAGTCACAGCCGCAAAAAGATGGTCTGTTTCAGATAAAAAAAGTATAAGATTACCACAACCACAACTTATACATTTATATAACCAAAATATGGGTGGTGTTGATCGTATGGATCAAAATGTATCTCAATATCGAATTTCCATTCGTGGTAAAAAATGGTATTCGTGTATAGTATCATACTCTATTGATTTGGCTGTTCAGAATGCTTGGCAGTTGCATAAACTCCATACTGAAAAACCAATGGACCTTTTGGCTTTTCGTAGACATATTGCGACTTATTATCTACAAAAGTTCAACAAAGCACCAAATCCTGGACGAAAAGGTGGAAAACCATCTAGTTATATTCCTAGATATGATGGTGTAATGCATTACTTAGTTCCACAAGAAAAGCAAACAAGATGCGCAGAATGTCATCAAAAAACCACTTCAAGGTGTAACAAATGTGATGTTGGAGTGCATTTGAAGTGCAACATTGAGTATCATACATTAAAATAATTAATATTATGTTTAAACTTTAAATTATGTTGATCAATTATAATTATATCAGTACCTATATAATTTTGTTTTGTATTTGTATATTACACCTTATTTTCCCACTGTCCTACATTTAGGACACCTATTATCAAGCAAACTATGGGTAAAAAAATTTTTTTTTAATTTTTTTTGGTTTCCCAAGAACAGCAATAGTAGAAATAAGTTAGAAAAAAGTTAATTTAAAAAAAAAATTAACCTTGGGCATGAATGGGTTAAACCATTATCGGCTATGCTAAAAAGTTTACAGAAAAAAATTACTAAGTGTTTAAAATAATTTTTTTTTAAATAATCGTTAAAAACTAAAAAGAATGAATTGAAAATTCAATAGAAACAAAAAATAAATATTCCGAATAAATACCAACAGAATCCACAAAAATGCGACTTTAAATTTGTATCATATTTGTTTGTCGTTGTTTCCAGTTTTAACCTTCAAGTTTTCATATTTTTTAAGTTAAAGAAACAAAATTTATTTCATGAAAAACTGATAGATCCATCGTAAATAATTGTTTTGGATGTTACTTACTGAGTTCTAAAAGAACTCGAGAAAATCAAAAAATCACATTTTATTTGCTATTTCCTCGATAGTAAGTAATATGAGATGATGAAAATAAAATCATCAAAAACGTTGACAAATACAAATATGGTACCTATGTTAAAACTTAAAACTAATAGATCCCTTGCTCGTAATTTTAAGTCCCAACTACGTGACGTCAATACCATTTAATACGTAATATTATTATATAAGTATGTCATATTATTATAAATTACATTACTATTGATTTAATTATTATCGTTATGTATAAACGTTTCCAAGCCCAGGACCCTATTTTTTTTTAACAAAAATACATTATGCCTCGATTAATAATTTGACACTATAAAATATTATGAACCCAAAAATATACAAACGAGTTAAAATAGCTAAATTATTAGTAACAGATAGGCAACCGACCAACAAAAATGCATGTTTTTTTCTATATATATGCTTTTGCTATTATGATAGCAAAATAACATAGAAATATCCGCAGTTTGGAAAAATATAGGTTCTTTTAGTTTTTCCACTGGCTTAAGCACTCCCATGTTAATGTCATTGTAATTTCAAATATTTATAATTTTAATAATATAATTTTACTTTTATGAAATTTTCGTTTTCTTATCTTGCATTCTGATTATATATATATTATTATTAATCTTAAATCTTAAACGAAATGTAAATTTATAATTGTAGTAATTGTTTTGAGAGATATTTTGTTAGGAGTTATGGACATACTCGGTACAGTAATTCAAATTACAATCCAAACGGCTACATTTGAGAAGACCGAAATTATTAATCATAGTGTCATTGAGTAATTTAAAAATATGAGAACAAATAAGGCATTGTCAGAATATTATGGTTAAAAATGGTATAATTTTGTGAAAAAATTACATTTTTTTGGAAGTTTCCGATCCAGTTTAGTTTGCTTCTATGTTTATACTACGACTATGATATTTAAGGGGCCTCACTACTGCCGTCAATTTTAGCTGAAAAGACCTAAAGTATTGACACAATTAAAGTTAGTTAATGTTGTCTGATTTTGATTCTGAAAAAAATATTTGAGCTCACTAGTTAATTGTCTATATATCTAAGAAGCACTTTGTAAAAACTAAATTTGATATTATTGTGAACTGTAGTTGAAAACTTGAAAATATGAACTTTTTCGAATCATAATTGAAACTAAAATTAATATTAAAAACGTAAAATGTTTCGTACGATCTACAGATATTTTTCTGCTGAATTCAAATATTTTTTCAGAATCAAAATCAGACAAACTTTAATTTTGTCAAAATAAATGTATGTTTTTGTAAAATATGTGTAGTGAAATTTATATGGTTATCGATTTATTGACCTGTGCATGCGCGTACGCGAGTAGATACCCGCATTTAATTTTACTCACACTAATAATCATTTACAACTAATCCGTAGATCCCGGGCGGCTATGGCAAGATTAGGAATTGCCTAAATATTGCCCCTTAAGGCAATTAGCAAACTATTTAAAGATACAATTTTTTAAAGCGTCAAAACATAAAAGAACTCAAAAAATGTCTGATTACATAAATATGTGCACATTTAACAATAATTTTTGTTTAACAACAAATTGTGAATAATAGTATAATATAAATATTGGCAATATGGAATATTGGGAGATATGGGTGGCAAAGACCCTCGCGACTATGTGGGCAATCCATAATTGTAGCACCTTCAAGATTTTAAATCTAGTTGCTCCACTGTAAGTTTTTACACATACATTGAACAGCAGGTACTACTGTCTACAACTATAAATTGCTAGTCACACATTTTCAATTTTAGAAAATAATACCATTGAGTATTTAATAATTGACTAGTAAATTTGATACATTCCTCCAGTTTCTAATTAGTGAAATCAAGACCAAGACTCTTGCAAGATTCTTGCTATTTTCACAAAATATATAAAGAAAAAACTAGTTATAACCTGTTATAGCTGTGCGTAGGTTTTTCGCTATGATCTCTAAGATGAAACTTAAGTCCAATATATTATAATATAGTAGGTATATTAATAATACATCAAACAAGTCAAACAATTGGTATTGGTCTTGCACAAGTCTTGCGGGACCAAGACCAATTTCTATATCTTTATTAGTTAAGCTTCTTTAGCTGTTCTTTAAAATCATCATCGTATATACTATATTATAATACTTAAATTTCATCTTAGAGATCATAGGAAAAAACCTATACACAGCTATAACAGGTATTCAGTTTTTTCTTTATATATTTTGTGAAAACAGCAAGAATCTTGCAAGAGTCTTGGTCTCGTTTTGATCATCACTATTTCTAATTGAGATTATACGAGGAAAATTTAATAACTCTACCGAGTTCATGGGCATGGCTAACATTTTATTTGAAAAATGGTCAAATTATGAAACTATTTTTATGGCTTCTCTTATTTTAGATATTATATTTTCTGTATCAACACCGCTCTCGGTATATTTTATAACTAAGTCACTTAATTATATGCAAGATTGGTCAATGGACAATGATTTCAATCATTAAAATCAAATTTTAATTAAACATAACGATGAGGAAATTTTATATTTGTATAAAAAATGCAAGGATCTAACTGAAAAAATTTATAATTTATAATTTTTTTTTGTAAATAAACCAGTAATAAGCATCCAGGAAGATTTTGAAAATAAAAGCATTTCAAAGATAATATTTAAAAACTCATTATTTTATCATTTTAAATTAAATAAATATTTGAATTAACTTTAAATAAATAAGCATTAAATTATGTTTTAAATTGCATGCGTATAATTTGATAACTACATAAGGTAGGTCGGGCACTCGGGCGCCTAAACAAAAATCCTGCCTAGGCCCTTTAGTGGTCACTGGTCAGGCTGACACTGTTTCTAAGGGTTGTTTTTAGAGAATTAAGAACATTTTAAGTAGGAACCTATGATTAAAATCTATACCTATGTTAAATTAGTAGTCAGCATACAGCTACTATATAATATAATTTATATCTGTACTCTATATCCTATAGGAAACTTTTGGAAAATAGTTTTAAGAAGTAATTTTTTGAAAGTATCTACTTAACAATAAAAAAATACTTGAATGTAAAATAAATTGCTTCTAAGCTCATTTATAGCTAACAATTAACACATTATATATCGATATGCATACCTGCAGGTACAAGCACACTAAAGAAATATAATATAATACATATTTTAACAACCGTTACACAGTGTGTACAGGATAAATTACAACATTTTAAATATGTTTAGACGATGATGTAATCAATATTATTGTCATCCTCGACACAATATAAGATTGTGTTTTCGTTAACAATTACAATTATATGATATTATTGTTTTGATTAGAACAATGTAAGTACAATGCTATATTGTGCCTGTATCTAAATGAGATAATATATAATATCAAAATAATAATAGAATGTGTAGATAATAGAAAGAACGCAACGTCGTAATTTTAGTCTATTAAATGAATCTAGATTGCCTCATTTTTAATTATTGTCTTACTCGCGGTTGCCAATTAAAAATTGTTCATTACTATAAATTCATAATACTTAATATTAAATGTTATGTAATTTTAATAACAACGCCTGTTTAATTGACCGCGACATAAAAATAGTCTTGTAACAAAAGTTCAGTATTGTTTTTTTTTGTTTTATTGAGATTTTAATTTAACAATTATTACATCCCGATACTTAATAATACAACTTAATAAAAGTATTATTGGTGATTACTAAGATTTATTGGCGATTTTAATTTAGTTAATAACAATCAATGAAAATAATAATAATACAACAATGATTTTCAAACTAATACGTTTTTTAAAACATTTAAACAATATAAGGTATAAGCCATAAGTTATATTATAGGTTTGTTATTAGGTATAGAACATTATTTTCGTGGTTTCTTGTTTTTTGTATGTATGAAATCGAATATCGTTTGTTTTTTTTTTGTTTATTATGAATTACAATATTCTATAAACTATTACATTGGATATCTAATGTGCAACGTCAAACCACTGAATGAATTGCTACCCTACAATGATTATTGGTCCATATAAAAGAGAACAGTGATAATTAGTGCGCAACAATAATATGGTATAATTATTACTGCAACCGTCTTGGTTTCACTGGCGCGATAATTATTTACTCTGTAATGTACCTACGTAAATTATAATTAACGAGATTTTTTTTTTTCGAGATTTACATTTAATACAGCCTTTGAAAATCTCAGTTTTGTGAACGTTGGTCACAGGAACGATTTCTTTTCGTAATTTAGTAGGTAATTTAACTGTCTATAGCTTATAATTGTTTTGGTCTGTTATATTTAAATCTAGCTACCTAGCTATATACTGCAGAGACGACAGAGTCATCGTCTTAGTAGGTGCTTGTGACGGTTATATTAGTTTTAATTTATAT